GACGCATATACATGCATAGCTTCTCTGCTTTCCATTTAGAAAATAGACTTTCTGGGTTGAACAGTAATTTGAGCTGTGCAGTACCTGGCATTAGTTTAATAAAAGATCATACTCCTCACTTGTCAAAACCAACTTGAGCACAAATGCATTTTGCAGTGCAGCATTGGCAGCTTCACGTAGATGGCAATGGTGATTAGCTACAGCAGTAATGGAAGGATGCCTCTCTAAGTAATGGTGACTGGAAAGTTCTAATGCCTTTCTCCCCATCTTTATGCACTTGACATTTCTGTTTTTTGTAGACTACCTATAATACTGATGGTTGTATCTCATGGAATAAAAATGGAGATTTTCATGATTTGAATCTTAGTCTGTCCTATATTGTGACTTTTTAGTAGACACCTTTGTTTTATGCTTTACTTGAATTCTCTTCCTTTTCTTCTCATCTTCAGAGCATGGCTTAAATTTGGACAACATCCATGACACAATGAGGCAGACGATTCATCTCATTCCTTTTATTAAACTGAGATATGGAGAAGGGAAGTGGGTGATGTGTATTGTTACATCCCTCTGAGAATAAAGATTTTTACTTGCCTCAAGCATTTGTTGGGGTTATTAAGTTTAGCCTTCTCTCTACCTCATATCTTTCCTTTGGCTGGCTGCCTAACATTGACAGACTCCGTCTGAGAGTTTGACCAGCAAAAATGATTATATATGCACCACCCATGCTTAGTGAAAGGATTTTACTATATTATCTGGAGTCTTACTTTGTATCGTAGGATAATGACATATATCCTTTTTGTGGTTTGGATCTCGTGGGCAAATCTAGAAAAATTGACGTTGGGTCCCATGGGAAAGTCATGATTTTCTTGTCAGTGAGACCAATGTCTTTTCATATATATATGTGTGTGTGTGTGTGTGTGTGTGTGTGTGTGTGTGTGTATTTTTTTACAAAATTTCTGTGTACAAGCCCCTGAAATTATTTGTTTTTAACTGTAGTGTGATCAATTTTATTTTCTTGTTTTCAAAGAATAAATTTAAGGACCCTTTTCAGGATTTTTTTTTTTTTTTTGGAAGAGTATCAAGTCATTACAGTGGTAGAAATTAGAAAAATAGTTCCAGATCCTAAAACATTCTAACTGGTTATTTTAATAAATTTTCCACAGTTCAATAGGTTAATTTCATTGCTTGACTTGATCTCTGGAAATAAAATCCTACAGTAACATCCAGTGGTCATTTCTTTGGCTTTTCTTTAAATTTTTTATTTTTGAGACGGAGTTTCACTGTTGTCACCCAGGTTGGAGTGAAGTGGCGCGATCTCAGCTCACTGCAACCTCTCCCTCCTGGGTGACATATTTTTATACTTGTCAATATTACAAGAAAACTTCTCTGAGTGTGATGATGGCTCACACCTGTAGTTCCAGCACTTTGTAAGGCCGAGGTGGGAGGATCCTTGAGCCCTGGAGTTCAAGACATGCTGGGCAACATAGGGGGACCTCATGTCTACAAATGATGAAAACATTACCCGAGCATGGTGGTGTGTGGTTGTGGTCGCAGCTACTCTGGATGCTAAGGTGGGAGGACTGACAGCCTGGGAGATTGAGGCTGCAGTTAGCTTTGATTGTGCCACTGCACTGAAGCCTGAATGACGCAGCAAGACCCTGTCTCAAAAAACGAACAAAAAACTTCAATGCCTGACCAGAAAATGAAGATAAACGAGAAACATACCTGGAAAACATTGAGATGACACTCATACCTGTTCTCCAAGTGTACAGGAATTTTGTCTCTCTGCATTCCATTTAGAAATAAGATTTCTGTGTTTAATTTGACTTGTTTAATGCCCTCACCCATGGTGGTTTCCAGATGAGCTTTCTAACCCAGGTCCTTACATGGCAAGAGGAAGCACTTACCCAGGCATCCGTTGCCTACTTGCAGATTGTCAGAATTGCCAACTTTTCTTCATTCTTTGGGATAAGAAATGTGATGGAATCCTTTAAAAAATATCCAGTTACAGGGAAAAGGGTATCCTACTTCTAGTTTTCTTTAATTTCTAATAGCACACACTCATTTTATGCAACAGCCCTTCGCTGTATTCACATGCTCTTGCAAGAAATTTCAAAACAGAACTTAAATGGGAAGCTGGGCTCTTACAATGGATTTCCCTTCAGGGTTGACAGTTTTTAGGCTATGGACAGGAAAAGGAAGGTAGCTAAAAATGACAGTATTGTACCATTTAATACAGCTGTGCATTTTGTTTTTCTAGGGAAATTCCCTAGAAATTTTCATTGCATAATTATAATTTCTCCATTGGATGCTGATAAGCAAGTAGTTATTATCAATTTGCATTGTTTGAAACAGCAGAAAGATAAATAAAAAAAACTTGTAATATATTTTTCATTTGTTTGTTTCCAGAAAAGTGACATCAATGTATAGTATTTTGTAATCCTCTCACTGTTAGTCAATTTTAAATTACTTTGGCCGGGGATGGTGGCTCATGCCTGTAATCCCAGCACTTTGAGAGGTCGAGGCGGGTGGATCACCTGAGGTCGGGAGTTCAAGAGCAGCCTGACCAACATGGAGAAAACCCGTC